TCTCTTTATCATTAAGTATAAGTTGCATACTTGTATATTATATAGGTTTAGCTAATGTAAAATTTTTAAATGTTTATCAGTTACGATTTCAATAGCTTGTTTCAGCAATTAATGTCGGACACAAACAACAATCAAGACCTAACATTAATTTCGATTTAACGACCGTTAAGCGGTAAGCGTAATAAATCGTGGATCTGGGTGAAGCCAATTTCAGCGCAACAAACAATTATTAATTTGAGGTGAATTAATAATCCGGTTATGTACTTCTATATCCGATTGTATGACCGACTGCGAAAAGCGTCTGTTGGATGATATGTGCAATTATATAAAATGTACGATAGTTATAAGCACATATTTTGTTTTATCTTGTTACGTTTCTAATAATTGGAAACAATAGTTAGTTAGGGCTTAAATCCTTCATGTGCCGCTTATTATTAATACAACCATGAACGGATCACTGTATACATATCCAACTTGGACAATCTCGGTTAGATTCCTAATAGATCAAATTTATCTTGTAACAAAATAAAAACATTATCCAATATCCACGATCCGGCACCGGTTTATATTTAGAGTATAATAATGAATTATTTATTTATAAAAAATATCTCTATACGACAAACTTCCTAAGGTGATCTTATTCAAAAGCAAGTCAATGGAGGGTTATTATTATTATGGAAAAAGCTAAGCCACTGAATTTGCATTAAAAGGACCGAAGATTCCAACATAGTACTTTCATATTATACGAGTATGTCTCGTATTACACTGTAGAGACGATAACTATCTTACTTTTAGAATTGATAAAAATTGAAAGTAGTATAAATTTATTGGCAGGCATACTATTTCCTTACATACTATGGACGAATAATCTGCAATAATGGCACAGTATCCGGTAAGCATGAATTTCATTGAAAATAAACTTGAGTCTGCAATACATTTTATTTGAGAATTTGCTGGGAATTATCGGAATGAAATTTATAGGATTAGTGACTAGGTAATGGGTTTAACTTTCAAAATGTTTTTACGTTATTGTTAAATTTATCATCGTTTTCTCGTAAACGTTGTAATTAGCAGGTAAAATTGAAATTGTGTTCCTAATAAATAATTATGTATGCGTAGAGACCCGTGCGGAAAGAAACCACAACATGTGATTTACTTCTTAGAACCAAACAATGTTATTATATATCACTTAAAATATATTTGTAAGGAACTCAGTAGCGGGCTGGTGTAGCTAAGTATGACTGAAAAATATATACAGGATAACACTGGTTTATTTTATTTATTTACACTTTATGCACAATCTAGCACAAAGCCGGACTTAATGCCAAACATTTGGGTTGGGTCTAGTAACCCCCCAAATGTTATCCTGTTTTATATAGATTGCCTTTTATTTTTAAGTTTTTAGTTTTGTTTATTATTAACGAATTTGGCTTTTACAAGACCACAAAATATAAAGAAAAAGATTTGCAAAACATTGCTTTCACATGACAAAGTTTTAATAAATTTATGATCTTGCACGTGCATGAGATAAAACCATATTTAACTTAAAATTTACATGTAGTGTTACATTGCTAATTATATATATCGTATAAAAACAAGCTTTTTGAGCGCTTAATCAAAATTTTACCAAATCTTTTACCTATTTGTGAAATTTTTATTATACTATGGATATGCCAACAGAATGCTCATAGTCACAAAACAAATATATAAAAAGATTACAAATACATGAAGCGTAAAATACGAACGGTGCTTCATGACTAATTTATATTTTGCGATGTCTTAAAAAATTATATTGAACAAATCTCATTCGTTCCAAAAAAATAAACCGGTTAATTTTTTTATCAAATTAAAGACAATTTCTATTGTACTTTAAACACAATAAATATCTGTTAGTTTTAAAATAATCAACCATTCTATACAGAATCATAAAGTCGTAGCCAATAACGCACATTGACCAATAAAATGTGTTAATGGAAATGCTTTTTGACGTATCGTCGCCAGTGGCAAAGGTTGTGATTGTTAGATATTTCTTAAGCTTTTGGCGACGCAACATTACTTGGGTAGTCAACCTTCATAGGCGGGGAGGCCTGTGACAAAGTTCAATTGAGGAGGGTGAACGTAGCAATTTTATTGCGAGCTTTCCCATTGTAATTTATGATAAAACATCCCTGAATTTATCTTAAACTGAATGTTTTCAATTATTACATATATAATTTTTAAAGTACACTAAAATACATTTAAGCTACTGTATATTTATTCAAAGTTTTAGGTCAGTTATTTAAAAAAAAAACGTAACAGACTAGGTGTCTCTCTGCTGGGCAAAGGCCTCCTCTGTAAAGAGGGTTTGGTCCACCACGCGACCCCATTGCGGATTGGCGGACTTCAAATACTATCAAATTTTTTATATTATTATTTCGAAAATATGTAGGTTTCCTCACGACGTTTTCCTTTACCGTAGAGCACGTGATAATTCAACACTTAAAATTAACAATTTCATTGCTGCTGGTACCGAGAATCGAACTCAGGTTGCTCAAATAAATGTAATTAAAGGCGAGTGCCCGGACACGGAGGTATCAGGTTATATTAAATTTAAATTTTCTTCATAATTGTAAAATAATTTACAATTCAGCCATCGTTTCGCAAACATAGACCTGGCTAGAGAACGGGCACGAAACGCTGCGGTTAAATTAACATCCTTTTGTTTCTTGTGAATGACTACGGGCCGTATCTGTCATATCTTCACTACATAGTATAAAACAAAGTCGTCGCGCTGTCTGACTGTCCCTATATATGCTTAAATCTTTAAAACTACGCAACGGATTTTGATGCGGTTTTCTTTAATAGATAGAGTGATTCAAGAGGAAGGTTTATTTGTATAATTCATGTAGTAGAGAAACACTGGTAATTTTAGAGGGTTCTAATGCGATGTTGAAAACAAACATTCAGCATTACACACGAGCAAAGTCGGGGCGGGTCGCTAGTTGGTGATAAAATGGGTTGCTAACCTTTATACTCACACCATGGTCCCAGGTTACGTCACTCACCAGCCTTAAATATAATAACTTAACTTTTCCAGTCTTCTATGAACCGGGCTTATGTAACATTAGCTATGTTATGTATGTATACAGAGTGGCTTTTCCAAATGTGCCCAAATTCACACAGAAGGTTCAAACTCGAAAGTATAATTGTTTATTACAAAAAAAACAAAATTTTTTTGTCAAAAAAAAATGTTATTTCATTCCCTGAAAAACAGAACTTGTTGACAATGCGGTAGTCATTCATAAATGCGTCGTATAGTTTGGAAACGAACTTATGTGCGTGATAGTTATGAATGATCGCGCGTAAAATAAATGAGTTGCCCATAAATCACAACTTTTGAGATAAGTTCAAATGAATGTATTTAATTAATTATGAGTGATTTCAAATATTTCTCATTTTTTTGTATAACATAATTTATGTCTAGAATTTAATAAAAAATGGATATGGTCTCCCTGTATGTAGTATTAGAAAGATTAAGATAGTTTTTATTATTTTGCGGAAGGTTATGTGCATTTTGTTATTGTAAACATTTATGTTGTTAACATTAGTCCAAGTAATATTTTTTTGGTTCCGTTCAATCAAAATCTAGCCATATTAATGGACAAAATACGACCTGATTGATGTAAATATGTGTATATTAGCAAAAATATGAATATTTTAATAAAAACAATTATATTTTCTAGTATGTATAGACTGTAAAATTGAAAAAGTCTATTTTTACAAAAATTGTTAGCGATGATTCCATTGGACCTAGGTACCCAAAGCAAAATAATTATTTTTGTAAAATAATTATCATATTTAATCGACATATGTTAACAATCTATATGATCCATGATGCTATAGAGGTACGAATAACAGTCGAATCTGTCTATCGCTTCGCTACTTTACTGCGTAAACTTCCGCATTGCAAAGATTAACTGTTTTAGTAATGTTTTAATGGGTCCCCGTTGTATTTTGGAATCAACAGAGATTCCGAGAAATACTGCGAGGAAATTTTTTAGTACATTAATGTAAGAATGGCGAGACATGGTGGATAACGTAAAACATAAACATTTATTTCAGATTATGTTATATATTACTAACTTCAAAGTCAGCTCTTTGGACAAAGCTTTGAACTCTAATTGGTCATTTAATTTATTAATTTTTCACAAATTCTTCATGGACTTTATGTTTTAGTACAATATAGAAAATAGCTATATTCAGATGACAGGCGTATTCCAACCGTCCATATATCGTAAGCCGGAGCAACCATTAGTCCTTTCATGTGTCTGAAAAGTGTCACTTTCACTGAAACATTGCGCTCGGGTGCGCTATTCAATTGGCGAATGTATTTTATTCGGAGCCAATCGATCTCTAGGCAACAAAACGCACGCCTCGAACGAAGTGTCTCGCGGGACTATAAATCACCGATGTCTTCGATATACTTTAATGAAAAGATCCTTCTGTTATAAGTATTACTCTTTGTTTGAATGAAGAAAATAAGCTGAATATTAGTCGTCATACAATTCAGGCAGAATTTACCGCGAGTTTAAATACCATAGATTCAAATGTGTTTGTTGATTGTAAAGCGCTCAAAGCATGCGAATAACCTGCACATCATTAAATAAGGGTATGTTTCCGATATTGCTGTGTGTGCAACTATCTAAAGGTCATTTTTTTCAGTTACTGGAATGTGCTACAAAGTATTAATAAAGATTTTCCACCAAAATTGCGTGTTTATTGGAAATAACCTATAAGGATTATTTAGTTTTATTTCTTTAGCTTCTTTGAGGGATATATTTTAAAAGTAGTACACACTTGAAAGATTTTAATAAATTTTCATTCATACATTTTTTACAGAATTAGAAAACAACGCTCAAAGACGGTAAAATGAAGGAGGATATAAGGAAAGCTCGTGGCAGCCGTTATAAGGCGCTTGTGACATGACGTGTGGGCGCCGCCTGTCCCGTTATTTACACAGCATGGCATCGCAACTTATCGCCCTAATATTGTGGTTATGTGGAAGTAAGGCTTTTCGTTTTAGTTTACTATGATTTTTTATAATTTGGCTACTCAAACTTTGTCATGCTATGTAGTTTTATCTGATGAAGTTATTTGTTTAGTTTCAACATATTTATTAAAAGATTAAATGAAATACGTATATCGGATGGTCTGCTTACTTAAGATAACCGAAAAATTGCAGTAATAAAAGTAACTGTAATTTTATTTTGGGATTTTAGATTGAATGATTTCGGATTTTATATATTTAAATTTTTTCACTATGTTTGAGGGTTTGTAAAAGGTTTGTAGATGTCAATCGTTATAAAGTTTTCAATATTATAATCAATATGTATTTTTGTCCAGTAAAAATCGAAATTTTTGTGCATATTATTATATCATCAGATTTTTGGTGAAACATGGAAATATTAAAATCGAAACATGTAATTAATACAAAAAAAAATGTGATACTGTGCATCTGCAGGCTTGTTACATTTTTGTTCTTGTTGTAAGTTCTGAGCTGCTAGACACATATTAGAGTTTGCATATAAGCTCGGTGTTATAACTTTTTTCTAGGTAATGAACGTTTATTTTAAAACTTAAAGTTTTGTAATTATCATCGAATATGTATATAAGACTAAGAACAGGAACATCCAACGACTTTAAACAGTTACAACATTTACTGATATTACATTGGGCATAATATGTTTACAAGTAAACGTTTACACGTTTACTTGTAAACATATTATGCAAATTTTCGTCAACATCATGCAAACACATTATGCAAATTTTCGTCAACATCATGCAAACACATTATGCAAATTTTTGTCAACATCTTTTACATAACACAACTAGCAACTCTGGTGAAAAAAATTTTAAACAACTGTTTGCTAACACTGTTACTGCTGGTAGCTAAAATTCGGAATAAGCTGTTAATAATCTATACTAACTCCTTCATTCCTCTTTTAATCTATTCGTGGTTAACAAATAAAGGTCCATTACATGTTGCCAACTCAACCTTCATGCAGCGTGCATGTCCCAAGCACGATTTAAATTACACTTAAGAGAGAAAACATTTTTTCTAAAAAATCATTCAGCCGCCCAAAAATATGAACCAAAAAAATACGGAGTTCCTTATAACATGTTTTTGGTCTTAGGACCATAGTTACTCAGCATTAATCGGTTTTGTTCATACTGTGTCCGTAAGCACATATCACGGGAGATGATACTCAAAACGTTTTAGGCTAAAAGGAACGGAAATCTCCCATGATAAATCCACTATAAACAAATATATTAATTGTCCCTGACATGATTATTGTTTTTAGACTTAAATTTTGACTGTATATTTACACTACTCTCTTCAATTTCCAGTCAATCGTAATGTCTTAGACAGAGACTGTTTCCGTTCGTAATTTTGATTTTCGCACTTGTGTCAGTTAAGCTGTACTCCTTTTGATCTACAGCTTTCCAGCTAAGGCCTTGTCTTAGGCTAATTCAACCTCATCTCAATCCTACGAATCTAGGTACTCACAATTGCGTTACTGCACTGACTACAAAATGGTTAAGACATTTTAAATATAACACGACTATGTAGTGTAAAGTTTAAAGGATAAGGATTTAAAGTTTACGTTTAAAGGATAAGGTAATCGAAATCTAGAAAACGGCTCCAGCGATTTACGTATGTGCGTAGATTCAGGGGCGAAAAATCAATCTAGATAGGTTTCATTTTTAGAAATTGTCCCTTTATCCCTGTTTTCTGGGAATGATTCGCCGCAAAAAAAAATTTTATAATAGCTCGGTCGGTAATCGGGCGGCCCCAAAACAGACGCCCGTGGTTCGTGTCACGATCATTTACACACTCTTTTTTTAACTTTTTTTCGATTCGAGATCATTACTTTCTTTAGTTTTTATTTTTTGTTGATCTAGATGATTTTGTTACTTTTTTCCCTTTTTTTAAAGTTGTTTCTTTTGTGAAAAAAAAACCACTTCATATTTTCTTATTATTAGGTCGATAAGATCGAAAAATATTATGCATATTTCAATACTCGGTAATTTGTATCCAAATGTAATTTCCAAAATACACAATTTACAAAAAAAAAACACCAGGTACTGTATTTAGTAATACACATAAACAAACCACCTTTTGCTTACACTGATACTGCTTGTGGCTGAAAATTGGAATACATGTAAATATTTTGACATTCTTATTCATATAATTATAATATTATTCTTCTTATTCACTTATTTTGAATAATTTGATGATTATCAAATAACCGTAAATTAAAATTCGCCAACATAAGGATACTACAATACCAGCCGATAGCTAACGTTTCTTGTTTTACAATTAAAATTTTAAGTTTGATGTTATAATAGGTTTGGTGATGTAATAGGTGCTTAGATGCAAAATAAAATTTTTGATAGGCATTAACAAATCTGATAATTTACAAACTTTATCGAAGTTCATTTTAATTTTAAATACCCGGCTTAGAATGTTTTAAAGTATTTATGGTCAAGAGCCAGACTAACATGTTTGGAGTCCTGTTATTATTGTAAGCAACAGTCATCTAGAAAATTATTAATTTTACTCCGATCCACGAAACAAACCCAAATTTGAGTCTTGGGCTCCGTATATACTTAGGGAACTCCTGAAAATTTTAATGTTAATTAAAATGAAGTTGTTGATAATATAATGCGGCCTAACCGTCTTTTTTATTGAATTCGAATGTGTTCGTAGACTGCAGACTTACTTGGCCCGTTACGTTTGATGTCAGTAAAATTTTCTTTCATTTAGACACTCACCTCGCAGTATCATTTTTAAATATGAGAAAAAACTGCCACCTAGTTTAGGAAATTAAGTGTTTCGATGAAATGAGGTCTTATAGAAATTGATTATTATTTGTCAAATGTATCTCCCGTAAAGTTTAATAAGTATTGAAATCACTCCTCACGTCTTTGTTTGTTTCTTCCAAATTTATTCGCAATTTGATATTCCGCGCGTGTATTTGATACAAGTAAATGTGGACGAAAGCAATGATAAAAATGTGGTTCGTTATATACCTTCGAACCTCACCTAATATGATATTTAAATTCAACGCCAAAACATCTTTTAGAATATTACGATATGTATCAAGATTTTAAGCAAGATTTAAGCTCAAGTGGCTACCTATTCCTCTTCGCCGGAATGCTCACATACTTTCTCTTGTTTACAACATACTGTTCAATCCTTCATATACTACCTATCTCAAGGAACGTTTCCAATTTTTTCGCGTTTCCCACTCTAAGTCACTGAGATCATCAGAAAATTTGGAGCTAAAAATTCCTACACACAAAACCAAGTTCATGAGTAGGTCATATATGGTGCAGGGTGCGCGACTCTGGAATGATCTACCCCTAGAACTAAGACGCGCTCAGACAATAACTATTTTCAAAAACCGTGTAAAGAATCAACACTTATCGCTGTAACTTTATTTCTTAAAAATGATATATGTATTCGTATGTATGTATCTATTTATATGTCTGTATGTATGTGTGTATATGTATATTTATATGTATATATTGTTCTTTGCAGATACATATACTTATTAACTTACATGTTTGTCTTATTATTATTTTTTTTCTTTTATTGTAGTTATGATATTATTTAATTCCTTCATTAATTTAACCCGCACCTTTTATTCCTTAATTTATTCCAATCCATCCAAAGGTTGCCTGGAAGAAATTACTTTTAGTAATAAGGCCGCCCATTGTACCTATCATTTAAATTGTAAGTTTTTGTTTTTGTAAATTTCATTTTGGTGTTTTTAAAATATTCATTTTTTTTTTTTTTTTTTTTGGCAACTTAAGAATATTGAGGTGGGGCGCTCGAGGCGCCTAGCCTGATTTTTACTATTACGCGTTTTCCCGAAGGAACGGCTCGGGCCGTCACGCTATTTAATTCACCGGTTTTGGTGGCCGCCAAGCTTTTTTGGCGGGCGCTCCATGGAGTGATAAAAGGTCCCCGAAGGGGACATATTTAGATTCCGATTATTCGGCTCGATATATATAAAATAAATATTATGAGTAAAAATAAACATATAGATATAAATATTGTATATAATACATATATAAATAGGAAGCAACCAGATGGAAACCCTTGACAGGGGAGACCAAACGGCCGAGGGTTTGGGTGAAAGGGAGAGGAACCGGCGGACTATGCGGGCGGTATCGCATTTGCGACCGGTATTTGAGCTTGGAGTGTTCTGTCCCGGAGTCCCAATCGCCTCATATGTTTGGAGAGGCTGACTGGGATTAATCCATTCGCAGACACGACTATCGGGATAATTTCGGTCGGCACACTACCCCACATGTCGGTCACCTCGTGAGCAAGGTCCAGATACTTTGTCTTCTTATCTGTTTCGGCTTTCACGAGGTTATCGTGATATGGAATGGTAATGTCGACCAAAAATACCCGCGACTGTGCCCTGTGCTGGTTTGTTCACGACAATCGTCCTGTCCGTGATGTTGGCCCGGTCGCAATAGAGCCTGGCGCGGTCATTTTCGAGCACGGCCTCCATAGAGTATTTGTAGTACGGCAGTTTCCGATCCACGAGGCCGTATTTCAGAGCCATCTCCTGGTGTAGGATTCTGGCTACTAGGTTGTGTCTATGGAGATACTCAGAGTTATACCGGGCCCTGGCATTGCTCGTTGGCTAAGGGTAGAGAAGTAAATTCTTTATCACAACTAATGACGTCCGTACGGATTGGCTCATCTGATCTCGCCAGAAAGTAGTTGCGGAGGCTGCACACCTCGCGGTTGTGCATGGTGAGGGCGCATAAAAAGCCCCTTCCGCCATGCTTCCGCGGCTGGTACAGTCTTATCCTTGACGATCTCGGATGATGCATCCTGTGGGACGTCATAGTTGTGCGGACTTTTCGGTCCAGGGCGTTGAGCTCAGTTTGAGTCCACCTGAGTATGCCAAAAGTATACATGAGGACTGGCATGACCCAGCCGTTAAATGCGCGCGCCTTGTTCACGCTTGACAAATGGCTGTTAAACACCTTTGTCAGACTTGCAAAAAACACGTCACAAACTGTCTGTTTCATGCCAACCTCATCGATACACATGTTTTGTGACATACCAGGTATCGGTATGTTTTAACCGCAGAGAGGGTCTGTATGTTAACAGACATAGATAAATCTATGCTCTCCGTGTTAGCGACCTTACCCCTTTCGACATGGAGGACCGCACACTTATCCGTCCCAAGCTCCATTTTGATAGAATTGCTGAAATCACAATTTTACTATTAAAGATTTTGAGCAAATCTATTATTATTCTTAAAACCCATATAATTATTTTTGTAACAACGCAACAATCATATAAGTCCTAACGTTCTTAAGGAGAAAAAAGTATTTCATTTTGCAAACTTGTACAGAGGTTATGAATTATTAAAATCACTCCGGATACAATTGAGTTTCAAATCCAATTCCTTAAGTAAAGCTGATTATAGGAATTTTCCGAGCGCCTCGAAGTCTCGAAAATTTCTATAAAGAGCCAATCTCTCTCGGAATCTCGACCTTCCGAATGCCAAAATTATTGGTCCCGTATACCCAATACCATGCATTTATTATATAAGTAGCATAGGGCACGTGAAAAATTTTATCATGGCGAACTACGTGTCATTTTGATCATTTAACCACCTGACATTTTCTTATGATATATATGATTTTTTATTGTTCGTGGTGCTTTCGAAAGTTTTTACATAATAGTCATCAATCAACGTACATGGACGGAGTCAAATACACTACATTTCGAAGATTGTTTTATATATTCAGAGGTGCTTATCAAAAAATAAAAATAGAAATAAAAAAACGTGCTGCCCCATTATAAACAAAAATATTTGTGAATTAGCTATGGAAAATATATTTAAAATAATGACTGTGTCTTTATGCCTCATCTTTAAAGAAGGCATTATAGTGTAGGGTTATATACCCCATATGCGCCGGTATAACAGCGCTTCCATGGCCGATCCGAAATCCTTACTTCCTTACTAATCCTTACTAATATTATAAATGCGAAAGTTTGTATGTTTGGATGGATGTTGATAAGGATATTGTATGTATTATTAGTGAATTTTCTAAAATATAGGTAATGATAAGTGTCAACTAAGTAGGAAAAAAGTCTGCCATCTGCGAGATATTCTGGTGTATATTAAAAAACTCATAGTTCATTCACTTGGGCCGCGCGGGTGAAGCCGCGGTTAACAGCTAGTATTAAAAACGCGAAAGTTTGTATGAAGTATTATAAACGCGAAATTTTGTATGAATGGATGGATGTTTTTGATGATTGGATGTTACTCTTTCACGCAAAAACTACCGAATAGATTTTAATGATATTTTACAATAATATAGCTAATACATCATAATAACACATAGGCTATAATTTATAATGATATTGTGTGAATTGTTCAAAATATAGGAAATGACTCACTAAGTAGGAAAAAAATCAGCTATCTGCGAGATATTCTGGTGTAACATATATAATTTCCAAAGGGAATTAACAACGAGTATAAAAACGTATTGTTAATTCCCTTTGGAACTGGCATTTTTAAAAAAATTACTTAACAGGTGATTACTCCTGAAGTTAAACTGATACCATAAGTGTGTAATGCCACTAAATACATAAATTACTTATTGCATTATAGATACTTTTCTATAGATTAATTTCTACCCAATAACACATTACCAGCCCGAGAATTGTATCATAAAAATAATTCTGTTAAGAGGAATTTCCTTGAGGAAGATGAATTTGGAGTTACTATACGGAAACCAAATCGAGATCGATATGAAATATATGATGAAGCTGGCATCGTAAATTGAATTTGGTTACAACGTAATGAGTTCTTGTCGGCATGTATGTACCTACTGGATTGATCGTGAATGCGATCACGCACTCGTACTGTTCACTTGATTTATGTATATCTAATACCTTTGGTATAACTGATTACCGACTTCGAGCCCAAATTTTGTTTAGCGAACCTCTGCGAAGATCGGCCCGGAAGTAAAAAGGCTGTACAGACTTTTATGTCTGTTTAATGTTCAATGTAATGTAAGAACGTGATCTGTGCAAACATTCGTACTTTGTCGTATATAACATTCGTAGACGTGTTATGTACAGCAAATTTGTTAAATTCTATTATCTTAAAAATAAAATACACTTAGATAGACGTAATCATAACACGAGTTTACTTCATAACATTACAAACATCAATGTATACTATTTAAAACAAATCTTTTTATTTCAATCCGTTGCTTAGTAGCAAGTTAAATAAGTCAATAAAGGATTAACAAAAACATTTAAAAACTTCCAATTTTGCACAAACGTGTTAATTTATTACAAAAAACAATGTTCTATTCTTTTCCCAATTTAAATTATATTCCAATGATATTTGATACTATACATATGTAATACGCATACAAAATCACCGGTTGAGTGTTCCACAGAGTAGCTGAACGCATTCAGACGTTTCCTTCGAATGTTATAAAAAGGATAGCGTAATTAAAGAAATAAGAAAAGAGAGTTGCCGTACTATTTTTCTTCTGTATGTCACTTTAATGTAAGTGTAAAAAAACGCGCGAGCTGCATCCTTCTTTCTCATTTCCGCATTAAAGTTAAACATATCTGTAGTATAAAATAGAATTATTTATAACGTCAAAATACTTTCTTAGTTCTTTTATAAACACGAACACAATCATAAAAGTAAAATAAATTATGCAATAAGAAAAATTCACAAAGAATTATATAACTTGAATTATTTAAATATGATTTGATGATATTAACTTACGAATAAAACTGTCCCCCTCGTGCCTAATATTTTGTACCTAACATTTTAAATAGTACTTCAAATACTTTACTTCATAAAACAAAAGAGTCTAATAGTACTGAACCCAAAAGTTTTTTATATATATCCCAAAAGTTTTTTATATATACCCAAAAGTTTTTTACAGTGAGCAGTCAATTTTGAACGTTTGAGGAGGCTCGAACACACCTCAGTTTCCCATTTAATATTCATGTATGGTCACTAGTTACAAGACCCTTATCTTTCGTTCTCGTATATAATCTTTTAGAATACTGATGGTTTCTTTGATTTGCTAAGATAGACACAAAAAATGCCTTATAGTGAAACGAGGTTACATTTTCAGATGTGCATGGACTCCGCGACATTCAGATCACGGTACCGGAGGCGGTTGGAGTCGGCTCGAACGCAATTTTGGGCTGCCGCTGGGCGCTGGATACAGGAGAAGCGCTGTACACCGTGAAATGGTATCACGGAGCCCAGGAGTTTTTTCGTTTCGTGCCAAAGGAACTGCCAAATACTAGAGTTTTCTCCCAAACTGGCATTAATGTTGATGTGAGTATGATTTTTATTTGTCGCCAATTGTCTTTAAGAAACATAGTATAGAAAAGTTTCTGAAGTCGTGTATTGTGTGTTCATAGAATTGCTATAGAGTTGAATGAATATATTCTGTGCCTCCTCTTTCGTGTTTGACGGGCTGTAAACCTGGATAAAGGTGATTTTTTTACATCGACTTGAAAGTGCCACATAAAGCGGTAATTTTAATAGAACATTAATTATGTTACGACATCTGGTAAATGTCGACAATTTTCAAAAGGTTCTCAACGCATCTGTAGCCTTCGGGTATGGCAGATGTCCATGGGCGGCGGTATTTACTTAACATCAGGTGAACCGTCTGCTCGTTTGACAACTTTTCGCATAAAAAAAAAGATTATTATTTTCTTAATATTTCTAGTTGGCTTCAATATACTTAACGGAAGTATAAATTGAAAATAGTATACTATCTATGAAGAAAGACTTTTTGTTGATGCAACGTTATTGCGGTTGAGCCCGCTTGTCCGGGGAAATAAAATAAGCCTCACCGAAGGCAACAACGTTAAGAAGTAATTATGCTATGGTAGGGTACACAACAGCTCTTGCCGTACACCCTTTGCCATTCAGAAGACTGACTTCAAGTCAAAAACATATTGTCTGCACGTGTAACATAACCATGAGATGCTATTTACTTTTAACGGGTTTATTTTTAATTTATTACAATTAAGGTATCAAGATCAGGAGCACAACAAGTTGTGCTTCGCGAGGCAACTAGGGGCCTCAGTGGACGCTATCGTTGCGAAGTGTCAGCGGATGCTCCTTTTTTTCACACTATTTACAAGAGCGCATTCATGCGTGTTATAGGTTAGTATGTTATCTATTTGTTTATTAAAATATGTAGAAAATTTGTTTATTTGTTTATTATTTCATTATTATTCATTTTGTTACCGTACCTACTGTACATGTTATTTAAAACATCAAACGAAAAAACACTCGTTAAAAGTTTCCACGCCACAAAATTATTGGTAGTTACAAAATTATTGCCAGAGGAAAAAAGACTAAAATGTCAACAGACTGTATTGTAACAGTTTATGTCGAACTATGTAATTGTTTTAAAATTTTGTGATTGCTTCAAGTAAAATTGAAATTGTCAATAATGGTGATTTTTTAACAGGAAATTTAAATCACACCAGAATTGGATAGTTCCAAAGGTATATTAAATGTTTCGTATAAATTTCCACTCGATCCGCAGTATAAATAATTAAGACAATCCTATCGAGCCCTTGTTTAGCCCTAACCATAAATCTGAACTATTGGAGGGCAATAAATACAGTCGTAGATCTTCTAAGGATATCGGATTAGTATTCATCATGTTTTAAATTGGCTTTGTTTTCGTATATTTTGGCAGTAAATATTACTTTAGTCGTAAGAATAAGTTTATTTATTAAGTAAAGAAAATTAAAACATATCTCTTCATAAAACACTACGTCAAGTTTCCTTATAGCCTAATAGATTAAAGATAATTAGATTTTTTTTTAACAATGTTCGTAGTCAAACTGCATAGGAAGACGACTAATTTGGGTAAAAATAAGTAAAAGAAAAGATAGAGAAAAGTATAAGATACAATGATTCAAAATATTAAGCACATTTTGCGAATTAAAAATAACAAATGAATTTAAAAATTTATGGGTTTGGGTAAAAAATTTTTTGAATATTTTTATTCAACAAATTTTACATTAATAGGTACAATTTATACTATAACGTGAATTTATACAGACTATGTTGATCTATTGAGTAATTAAATATGTTAAATTTTAAATTAAGAAAGTTTTAGTTTTTAGAGATGAAGGATTATATTTAGAATGATGCATGTTGTTACAATTAATATCGATTTACAAGCTTTCTATTAAAATATGTATTTTGTATAAATAACTATTTTGAAGATCTATTTAAATAATAAATAATTAATATTATCTATGACGACAGACAATTTTCATTGTTTAAATGATTAAAAAATAGATTGATGAAAAAGCGTACTGAAGAAAATTTTATTTAAGCTTTTATGCTTTAAGTATATATTATATATGTAGGAAGGACTCGGATCTCCAGGTAATAATCATTTGTTTTATATAAAAATAAATTTAACGTCATTACCATATACATCCCGTTATAACTATGGTTGGTGTAAAATACACGACGAACGACCGACGTAACGACACGAAATGCGGGCTCAAAACTTATCACTACTAGCTATATACTTCTACCTCTTCTTGCAATTACATTATCTAGAGAGCTATTTTATAGTTCATGTTCTTGGCGGGATGATTAGTTCTTTGTGAAGCGTTTGGATAGTTTTAAAAGCTTTTAAAATAAACTCTATTCGCTGACAGCTAGCTTACTATGTTATTTTAATAGTGTTACATTAAAAAGGTGCAGTGGTATTTCAACATTTAAATAGATTTAATACATTTTTAACATAAACGATGTAAGAGTATCAATATTTAACTTTAAACCGAAGCTATGTTCTGTGCTAGCGCTACCAAGGATCTTGATGAATCGAGCAAACACTTTAGTACAACAAAATTAATGAGGTGTTCGGGAACTCCTGGCGTTTTCATTAAGTAGAATTGGCAAAAAGCGACAGAACAGGAATGTAAACACTTAAAAGTTTTCCGGCGCCGAGTTGCAGCGCCTCGCCGTAAAAGAGGGCGCTGCTGGCAAACAAAGCATGTCGAGTTGGATCTCAGACTGTTGTAAATTTTCTAAAGAACTTTATCAGGGATGTACGAAAGATGAGAATATTCAGCAGCGAAAATGACTAATTTTTTAGACCATAGATTAATGTTGCATTTACATCATGATAAGTTGTATTGCGATTTTTAATGTTGGCACCTTTTAAATTTGATATAAAATTAAAGTGGGCATTCAAAGTTGCTCATTTTCTAGGAATCACAATATAAATTATAGGTTTTTTTTTACTTTTTTTATGGTGCGTATCCAAGCTGCAATTATTATAACATGTGTAAAATAAAGTTTTTTAGAAATCAGACCCCTGGCGTCATAGCCAACACCTAGGCAACTGCGCTATTCAAATATGTCAGGCTAACATAATTAGTAATAGTTTAGAATAAATGGTTTTAGGATATGGTGAAAGGTACGCTTAAAAATATGCATACGTATGTTTCGGCAAAGATTCTATATGTAGATTCATTCTGGGCCCGAGGAGCAATATTCGATTGGTTAGATACCAATAATTTTGCATCGTATTCAACCGACAACTCATCATACGGATACAATCAGCTACATTGTATCAACTAACAGAGTAGCAACTTATGTAGTCCATATTACATTTGAACCGAAAACCGATTACTTCTTATGCGTATATCACATTAATGTTATTAAATCAATTAATTTACTGGATTAGGAATAAGAGGTAATAAAAAAAATACAGTGGGTTTGTGTTATTGTGACCACGATTACATGACCAAATTTAAAAGTCTGAAATCCATAATATTTTCCTAATTGATTTGTAAATTTATATAACAAACGTATTTTTCTCACTAGATTTACCCGTATCGAAACCAAAGCTTCGTGCACAAAAGAGCTGGTATTCTGTGGGGGATATGCTACGTGCTAATTGCACTTCGCCACCTGCAGACCCTCCAGCCAATCTCACGTGGCTTGTCAATGGATACGAGGTACAAAAAAGTTTTATTCAAATGTATTCTTAGTGCTAACATTTACATGGAAAGTTTCTAGACGAAATGCAGTTGGAACTCGTTTACAAACAAAACTTACCCTGTGACAATTATTGTAAACATGAATTTTTATTTTAAAGCAGTTTGAAAACTCGAACATTAGTGATTTGATTTCAGCCAGTATTTCTTACACAATGTTAACGATTTTGATGTCAGAAAGGGAAAAACATCATATATTTATGTTATATCGTGTATTTTAGAGGACTTTTATTCATACTTAAAATTTTTAACTATTAACATCTGTATTTGTTAAAAGGTCAAAGGACTCGATATACCAGTGATAGACTCTTATGAAGGAAGAAAGCATGCACTTAGTGACTCGTCGCTTGAAGACGCGAACAGAATTATATTTAGTCCATGGGACGCAATATCTGGTTACGAGGAGGCGGTAACCGACAATGTAATAGACATTCCGGGGAATATTGGTGGCATACAAGGCTCGCCCAATGTGGAAAATAATCATAAAACCAAAAGCGAAACCACAATGCAGCTGGCTTCGAGATATGATGACGTATCAAGTAAATTTAACATCAGTGCCGACGATGACCGATGCAATAAATCATCCACGTTTAGTCAACTTGTGCTCAGAGTACAGCCCACCCATTTTCAAAAGGTATTTTCAAAATGCATTTTCAAACAGAATAAATTAATAATGATTTGTTATTTATATATTTTTTAAATGAAATTTGCTTCATATTCGTCTTCGGTTTCCATTTAAATTCGTTTACAAATGTAGCCAAGTTGCTCAGTTCCCTTTTCGCCATAACTTATTTGGCAACGTGACAGTTGGAGTGCCCGTTGTCGGCTTGGTGGTCAAGCCAACGATATAAATCGTATAAACAAAGATCGGGCACCGAAAACTGATTAAAATCAAACTAGGTCACCTGACTGATTGTAAGTTATGAATAACGTATACTGTTTTAATATAAAATCTTCGTCTTCCTCGTATAAAACCTAAATTATTTAATGGTTTCACCATAATAACAGTTTTTTCCTTCGATAGTAATTTGTATACGTTAATTGACATTGTAAATTGACACGTTACACAGTTTTTTTTGCTTTTTATCTAAAACTTTAGGTATATATATTTATAATTATGTCAGTTAGGATTTAATTCTTTCTGCTCTTTAGTTTAACCTGCATTTATTGTTTAAATACGTAAAAAATACTGGTTGCTTCTAAACTAAACAGAAGCTTTTGATTTGCACCCCGTTTGTATAATGTCTTGAGAGTTTATTATGTTTAATTATAACAGGGTCGTTTAAATGTAACGTGTGTCGCCCGCATACTATCAGTATGGTCTGCCAATGAAGTACTACTTTTAGACGAGGAAAGACCTAAAATAGCACCTGTTATGGGAAGTCGTGACTCTACTTCTGGAGGTTTGTTTCTCAAAATAAATTTTTGAACATTATATAGTCCAAAGTGCTTTTTACCTTAAGGTCCTTAATTTTGAGAAGTATTAGAGTAAAAAATATACTTCTTTTTTTTTTTGCTATATCTACACCTAAATAAATATGTTTTTCATGTTAGCTAGATGTTTATCATCATTGTGTAAAAACTCTTACATGACATGTCAAGATTATGGAATGATGTATAAATATAAATAATAGGCTAAATATGGCTTTTGACTGTATTAAGAAACAACAAATTGGTGTTTTTCGGAAGAGTTATTAATAAAAGTAGTATGTTTATGGAAACTCGAACAAAGTATTTCTGTAGTGAACACGTGAGAAAAATGAACAGAGGAAGACCGACAAAAATATTTTTTTATGGAAAAGTATGCTTATTATTCGGGCGAACTTGACGAAAATTTAGGGATCATATACGACCGTATAGTGTCGGAAGGTGGTGCAAAAATTTCCTATAAAGACTTGCACGTTTTGACGTAAATGTATTAAAAGGGGTGAACATTTGAGATTAGTAATACGTGTCTTCCACTATATGGGCAGTTGCGTATATATTGTACACGCTATTTCCTTACAGACGTGTTCCTTATTGTTTTATTTTGGATCAATATGTGGATTAAATTAAGAAATTTTTTTAAGGATTGACAACTTTAATTGCGTTACAGTACGTGTAAGTCAATTAACGTCGTGGAATTTTAAATAATTTTAATAATCTTTCACATTTCAGCTCTCCGACACATATTAGTTAGAAATGCGGGAGTCTTATCTGTATTCAACTGTGTAATCTATTACAAAATGGTAAGAGCTTTCTTGAATTTCCACTTTTACATTTGAACCGCTGTATATAATATTTGAAACGCCTTATTTTTTGAAGAATTGAATTTCATTTCTATTGCTTTTTGTTCACAGGTCAATACGATGATTGCGACCGCGCATTTGTAAACGTTTTATTTATTTATAAAATAAAATTGGTGTTTACAACCGAATGTTCATAGTTTTGGGTGGATGAAGAAAACCAATATTAAGAAAATTGTCAGCAAGACATGTATAGGTTTAATCGACTGTGTAATAGAGAAAGAAACATTTTTATCTATCTGATATAAAATGACTGTAGTAAATTTTTTACATGTACATAAAAAAGTTTAAATCATAGTTTCCAATTGATAGAGTATTTTGCTTCAAATTTATCTTAACTAAATATGTTAATTGTAACTATGAAGCATATGAACGTAAATAAAGGAAATTCTTCTTTGTACATTATTTTTTTGTCTACTAAAATTTATTTCATCTAGATTAATACCTTTTACAAAAAAAAAAAAACAATCAAATATATCTTATATTATCGTTTATCTTAAACAATTCTTATATATCTGAATAATTCCATAAGAATAAAAACATGCGAGGCAGTCTTTGGGGACTGCCGATAGAAGTCAAAACTAAGTATGTTAACAATAATAAATATGTTTATTTATAAATAAAATAATTAATAAGTTACTTAAATAATTTTTACAATAAAAAAAACCGACTTCCAACAGGAAAATAAATATTGTTAACACCTATAACATTAGAGGATTGCGCTCGATTTAACTGGGATGCCATCATCAGATCCGGGTTTTTTTTTTTTTTTTTTTTTTTTTATCAAAAAAGGCACCACCCTTGGGAAGTATCACCACGTCAACAAAAAAACAATCAGGGCTTACAAATGCGTTGCGGCTTTTTAGGAATGAGTACGCTCTCTTCTTGAGGTTCCCAGGTACGCGAACACACATGGTTCCAAAGAAGGCAGGAAATGCCTTGAAAAAAACGCTACATCGAGGTATTCCTTATCATGGTACCACCCTTGGGATATCTCCACGTCAACAAAAAATAATCATCAAAATCGGTTTATAAACAACGAGGTTATACGCGAACACACATAAAAAATAAAAAAATACATATACGGTCGAATTGAGAAACCTTCTTCTTTTTTGAAGTCGGTTAATAAAAATAACAGTGATTTTTAAGTTAAAAGTAATAAATATATATTATGATAATAATTAAAATAAATAAAAAGCGTTCGGTAACAATGACGCGGGTTCCATGATTTTGTTCACCCAGAAAGTGCTCAACGGGCCTTAAAAGAACACTTCGAAAAAAATTTCATGAACTCGGTTTCCAAAATTTGTTTCACTGAAGTGTGAGCCACGAATATTTTCATACACAGTTGGACTGTTTATGAAAAAACGTACTTTAACATGAGATACTACCGTTTTTGCAGGTACGAAACAAGAAACAGATTGGAAGTATTTACTACATACTAATAATTCTGTGCTGCTCTAGGATATATATTAATATATAATATATTAAAAGATAAATTCAAACCTATTTTTCGCTCAAAGAACATGGCACTTGGTAGAAGTTGATTGCATTAACGCCAAAACTGTTTCTTCTTTTAATCTCCGCTGATCGTCATCTTCCGGATTATGCGTCCAGAAGCTGTAGCCACTAAGCTAAGTGGACGTCGTTCTCACCGCGCGAGAATCTCAACGTTTTGTCTACTTTGTATTCTACTTTATTTAGACTCGCCTTTGCAATTATACGACAGGTATACGAGTACCTTCACATTTCAAAGTTTCATCTATTCCATAGGTTATGATTGTTTTTTTTATCTATGTTAAAGTTGGCAAACGAGCACATGTTCAACTGGTGTTATGAAAGTTAATGAATGAAAAAACGGAACACCAAAACTATAATACTCTATTTCACGCTGGTATAAGACCAGCCACTGAGGTTCAGATTTAGTCGGTTCTTCTAATTTTTGAAAAAAATAAATATCGGGAACAACTAATTGTAAAATTCTTTCACCATATGAATTTTTATTAAGTTAAACTTCTTTTGAAGCGTTTGGAAAAAGACATGATGAAGTTCGTTGCAAAGCGACCGAGTGGGAATCGAGCCGGCACTGAAGGCAATACCTTTTCACATGCGCCACGTAGTTATTAAATTTGTTGAATATTTTTAACGAGAGATGGTGGCAAGCGAACAGATGGTTCACATGACGTTAAGTGATAACCGGCGCCCATTGATATTGCATGGCCATACTACCTATGAGAGAATGGATTATTGTCAAATTGGAAAAAGTTGAGGTCCTTGACAGCTTTCACGGCGTGCGCTGCTTCAAAAATGCACGAAAACCTCTAATAAATATGTAATGTCATAATTATGTCCGTCGTCTACAGGCTATCCTTTGAAGATATTTATCTACTTTAGATTCTAATACTAAACATTTTTGTATTTGAAATTTCAACCCATAAATTTTATTCAAGATATGTTTATACCTGTTCAATAAGAAAAAAAGAATACTGTGTAAACTTATGTATGCACGTGAGAAGTTATAATTCTTTAGTACAATTAAAAGTTTTATCCCATGTGTTGGTACTCTTGTTTGTGAAAAAGACATTAAATACTTAATAACGGTTTAATTACATAGCTTGGAACTATAGGTAAATGCCAAAAATAATATTGGTTTCCATGTTACTTACTAATGTGTCCCTTACACGGATTGGCAGCAGCTCGATTTAAGTAAATTGTGGGATTAGTAAGCTTAAAAATCATAAGTACCTATGCAAGTAAAAATGGAACCATGCTACGTTCATACGCGCATATTTGAATTTCAAATTGTGTTCAATGATGATATTTTTAACAATTCTTTTTCACTTATGTGTTATATTTCTGTCACTAAGTAATATGATTATTTAAATTGGTGGACCTCTTTACATTTGTTCAACTAAGTATTCAAAATTTTTAATAAATGTTATCTTATTTTTTATTTATATTTATTTATAACTCGTAAAATAACATGACCTATACAAACACGATTAAAAAAAATCTCTTTTATATTTTTTTATTGCGGAGTCTCGTTAGCGATGTGAAGAAACATTAATTCGTTGGAATACGTATCTTCTGAAGGTAACATTTTCCTCTTGCGGTAAAATATAAAGACGTTATGCTTTTTCTTATGTTGGGGCTTAGCGCTTTTAGAGAACAGAGAAAGGATGGTTGATTTTCGTTTATTTTATTCAATACCTCTTTTGTTAATAATTCTTATATTCTATTTCCTATATTAAAAATAAATAAATTACTACCGGCTACATATTGTGCTCGTATGGTATTAGGACTTATCGCTTTTGTTTGTGCTAAAATGTTACGTATACTATTCTTTATTTTAACAAAAAAAAAAAGAAAATTCCACAGCCGTTAAAAATTATAAAGAATACGTAATATTCTTTTATATACATCACCCTTTATATCATACGCTAGATGGCATAATCTAATATTTTAATAAATTGATACCGAGTTTATGAATATTTCCGTTAATACAAAATATTATAATAAAATAATATTCGATAGCCAAAATATTTGATTGTTATAACAGCTTGACATTCTTTTATCATGAAAATCAAATGTACTCCATTTCGGTACCCACGAGAGACCGTGAGATACGTATAAGACAAAAAATCTGCTGTGTACGAAATGTTGCCTTTAACCATCAGAGAAAAGAAAGACGTTCCAGGTCTCTAAATAGACGAGCACATGAAAAGCTGTAACTGAGTTTCAGATTTTCATCGTATGTACGGAACCTTAAATAAATATTTGTTCACTTCTCCGCAATAAATGTCTGTACAATTTTTAAAGTCATCCTCAGAATAGTTTCCCTTTAAACAAATGGGTATGGTCTCACGAGAGTTTCCCGTTTGTGCCACGTTCCTCGTTAGCGATTCTAGAGGTGCATTTTAAAGACCGGTATTTACAAATTCAAAAAAAAAAATAAACGAGGACTGATATAAACGCTCCTTTGAATCACTGGGATGTGGTTTTTATTCTTTTTCAATATATTTATGCAAAACGAGTACTTTAAAGTGGCGGCGGCCTTATTGTGTCTCAGCTTGTTCCTTTTATTTGACTTATGCTGCCAGTATCGTAAAATTCTTTGAACAGTTGTAGTCTAACGATCGGTTTCAATATTCTATTCATTTGTAGATATAATTAGTACTTTTATTTCAAAGCGATAGGTATTTGACATTTGCTTCATAAAAAAGTCCATAATACTTCCATTAAAAATTTGTCTCCAGTAAACAAATCTACAGATAGATCGAATATTGAAACCGGACGTAAATAATTATTAATATATCACTCCTGACTTATTAAAAGACTTATCTAGATCTTAATCTCCTTTATTGTATATATAGGTAATACGGAGGTTTTAAAGAAATCGATAGACCGTATTATAATTGACTATTGGCGATAAATATGTACTTACGTATAAATGAAACTAATTTTACGGATTTGTGGCGTTTATTTTTAATTTTAATTCTTAGTACTTACGTGGTTATACAATAAATTAATTACAATAAATACCTACTACTATAGTTTAATAGACTATTCAATGGATATATTTAAGAACGCATTTGAAAAATAAGGTTAAAAGGCATATATGTATGCAAATAGCAACAGAAGTACCGAGACAAATTACGATCGCACCGGGAAATATCAGTGAAATCGTTGATGTAAACAGAAGATTTATCAATTATTTAATAAAAAAAATTAAAACGTAGAACTACTACTGGATACAGGAAACAGTTTTCGACAAATCAATATTTCCAATCCATAATGACAAAGTCCAATGTCCACCCGCTTTGTCGCACAATGAAGTTACTCAATTAAAAGTTTCATAAATCCTGTTTGAAAACTTGTTCAATGTTTTGCCTTCGAGACAGGTAAAGTTTTTTAGTGAACAATTTCATTTATATTTTCGATAATAGGTAAACTCGTTAATTGTTAATCACTGTAACAAGTAAAAATACAAAAAAGAAACATTTAAGCACGTCAAGTTACTTTATTAATGTGATGATCGTTTAATTAATTAATACACAATAGTAAAGTAAATATATCATTGTGAT